TCTCGCTGTCTCTCTCTCTCTGTCAAATAAATAAATAAAATCTTTAAAAAAAAAAAAAAAAGAGAAACACTGCCCAAACACACCCAGAGCCCTGCTCCCACCACCCAGGAACATTCAACAGAAAGCTGCCCACTTCTGACAACTGTGGATAGAAACCAGGTATAAATATCAAGAGTCCAGAGGCTCACAAGTGAGGAAGGGGTCCTTGAGTAGGGAAAGATCAGTGGAGAAAGGCCTGAGTTAGAACTACTGTGCCAGGCTCAGGTGCTGCTGACCATACCCACCCAGGTTCCTCCCATCCACAAAGACATCCTGTTGGTGGTCGTGCCACAAGCAAGGGGAAGGCCAAGGTATCAAGACTTAACAAGCTTTTCCAAGGGCTTGTTTCCCCTGGTCTGACCATCAGGGAACATGACTGCTGCTTCCTTTGTGCTTTCTTAGACAACCCCAGGAGCACCAACCTAGGGACAAATGTGGCATGACAATTTTAAATCGAGGGCAGGGACTTCCTAGACATCTCAAGTGCCCAGGGGACTTACCTGATCTCGACAGAAGAAAGGACCAGGCTGAGAACTGCAGATATGACACAGAGAATCTTCCAGGTAGGGGTCAATCTGAACCTACACAAAGGCAAAAACAAGAGAATGAGTGGCTCTCCCCACGAGGAGGCCAAATGGGCCAGAGAGAAGGGACATTACTGAGATATACACAGGAGTGCAGGATGTCTCGTTGTAAAGGAGAAGATTATGGGCAGAGTACAGAGCCCCTGGAGGGGAGATGCACACACCACGCAAGGCCAGACTGGCAGGCAACCACACACATCACTGCATCTGCATGGGTTTCTCAGCAAATTCGATGCCAGCATTCGATCACCCAGCAAAAGGTAAGTGTTCAGAGGACGCAGGTCAGGTTGGAGAATGGGAATCCAGGCTGCCCAAGCACCGCTGGTCAAACACCCAGTGAGCAGACACCTCACATGTTGAAGAGGCTCCACGGTCCCAGCTCCCCTCCCTCCTGAGCCTGCCACGGCCAGGCCACGCCCAACCCCAACCTCACTTGGCCCACAATGGCTCCAACCTCAGGCCTGCCCTGGGGAGTGAAGACCCAGAGTAAGGGTACAGACCAGTGCACTCACCTTCTTGGTGAACTTGGTGGTTTTGATCTCCACAAAAGCAGCGCTGACTGCTTTCAGGTAACTACGCTGGTTATTGAAAGTCACACGACCAGACCCTGGGAACAAGAGAACAAACTTACGCTCTAGCCAAATTCTCCCAAATGCTACTGTCTACGCTCAGGAAACCCTGTTTCTAGACCAGGGCTGTCAGATGGAAATGTCATGTGAGATACTTATGTAATTTTAAGTCTTCAAGTGGCCACATTTAAGTGAAAAGAAAGTAGTGGAATTTTTATAATATAATTTACTTAACCCAATATATCCCAAATATTACCATTTGAACACATGGCACTGCCATGTTTTAAGCATTCAGCCACCCCATTTATTAAACAGTGTAGTTATGTAGACCACTCAGGAGTGGGGGAGGGATCTGCGGAGTGAAATGGGGGCAGGCAGAGACTCCTCTGGCGCACAGGCAGGGTTAAGAGTGGGAACCAAGATGCACAGAGAACCCCTCTCTGAAGGGAGGGCAGCAGGCAAACCCCTCCTGGCCTGGAGGCACTCCAGAGATCTAGCGGGGAAGCCAGAGGAAGACTCATCCTGCCCAACGCTCCCTCTGCCCCCAGCCTCCAGTCCCTGTTCCCAGCCTGTGGTGCGGCACCGATGAGCACATGGTGCTCCTTCCCGACCAGATTCAGTGTGGGTGGGCAGAGTAAGCCTTTGGGGAGGTGGGTTAGCCATGCCTTGATCACACAAGTTCAGGCTCTGCTCCACCTCCAAACCCCACCACCAAGATTATTCTGCTATGGCTGAGGAATGAACCTCCTTTCTCAGGGGGGCTGACCCCGCTCAGCGAGGATGAGGGCACAGGCCATGACTACACTCTGTTGCCAGAGTCACCCAGCGTCATCCTTCAGCCTCACCTGGTCTCTGGTCCTAGACAGGGCCACTTTTCAAGAACTCTTAATTAAAAAACAGGCAAGTTCAGGGAGGTCCTGGCCTTTTAATGAAGTATTATCTGTTGTCGTTGCAGACTGGTTTGGCTATGAACTCTGAGCTTCCAACCAAAGTTCCGGTCTCACTTTCACCTCCTATCACCTCCCATGATCTCCTATCACTTTCTCCCCCTTCGTGGGAGGTGGTGGGAGAAGGGTGGGTGCAAGGCTTATCTAGAAAACGATGCTATGCTGCTGGTAGATGCTGATCTGCAGACTTGGATCAGGCCTCCCTCTCCACTCCCGTGGGAAGTATTAGAATCTCGGTCTAGCAAGGTCCCAGGGGCCACCAAGCTTTCCCACAGAAGTGGGACACTTACCAATGGGATACTTGTGCTTATCTGTGTCAATCCCAGCGTACACCACTCCACCAAATAGGTCGTTCAAGATGGCTGCCAGGGCCTCGGCGTTGAGCATCCCGTGCAGGGCACCGACGAACACCGTCCTGCTAGGGTCGAGTCTCTGAGATGGGCTCCGGACAAAGTTGCTGTCAGCTAAGACCCAGGGGATCACCTGCACCTGGAAACCACCCAAAGGTGTGTAAGCCCCAGCAGGGAGCCAGAGAGAGCCAGGCTCTTGTACCGCGAGGCACATGCCCGGGAGGCGCTCCAACTGGGGCTACCAAGGCCCACCCAGTGGGGGCGCGGATGTATTGCCCAGTCCCAGGCACACAGGTACTCAGCAGCCACCTCACCCCAACCAGAGCTGGGTTTCACTGAGTCTGTGTGTCCGAAATGGGGAGAACAAGTCGAACAGCAGCCTCTCCTCCTGGAGAGCAAGCGGAAGAGTCCCGACCGTCACACCCAGGAAGCCAGCACTCTGTATGACTGTCAGCTGTGCCGTTCCAGCAGACCACAGAGCCACAGAGACCATGGCGTCCCCGGGGCAGGAAGGACTCAGAACCTGAAGGGTAAGAACTGCAAGGACAGAGGGGGGGTTGCTCGAGGTCCCCCAATGAGACCGTTACTGGCCCAGTGTGCGCACGAGCGGGCGTGTGCCAGGGACAGTGGGAGTAACTGGAGACACGCAGGGTGGATGGCTCACAGGGCAGTGTCGCAGCAGGGCAGGGCCTCACCGTGTCCTTTGCCCCTGAGTCCCCTGGGCCTAAAACCAAATCTGGCATAGCAGGCAGAAGACTCCATGAGGAAGTGAGCTGACAGATGCCTGGTGTTTTTGGAAAGTTAATCTGTGAAGATCCGACAACAGCAAAGTCTCGAAGCAGGAAGAGATCTGAGGCAGAAGCCACAGCTGAGAGGACAGGTGATGAGGACCTGGAGGTCCAGGTGGCGCTGGGCACAGAACAGGCCAAGACCAAGAAGATTCTTCGACAGAGGAGGCTGCACAAGTCAGACCGCCTGGGCCTGGCGGAAGAATGAAGAGTCGGGGCTGAGAGGGTCCAGGCCTAGAAGACCCTGGGATGAGCGCCTGATGGCAGTTACCAAGAAAAACTCATTTCACGGGAAGATGAAAAAGTCCACTTTGCTTTTCCACCCCCGTGGGGAGAATTACCACCATCTTGGTCTACATCCCAGGGGCCAGCAAGCTTTCCAAGCTTTTTCTTACCCTAAGCACAAGAGTCTAGGATTATAGGACATCCCCAAGAAAGGCCCCACAGGAAGGTGGGGCTCAAGGAGGACATGAGGCTGGAGAGGGGAGTGTGGGTCTGAAAGTGAGAGCAGAGCCACAGGAGTGAGTGACCGAAGTGTCGGGGAGAGAAGAGAGTCCAATACTGACAGCACTGATGGCAGGGAGGGGACACACGGAGAGAAGAGTCTGAGAGGAAGGAGAACCAGGACAGCCTAGAGTCAGCGCACCCGAGTCAGGCAGGGAATCACTGCACGGTGACGAGCTGGGGACAGGAGACAGGGAGGTGCCGGCAGGGGGCACTGAGGAGGGCCAGGGGTCTGGGGTATGGCCGTGGCAGCCTCTCACCGTGAAAGCAGGGGACAGGGACGATGGAGCAGGTTAACCAAGTCCTAGAGTGGAATGAGGTGGGAGAGCTGCATGAGCCCCACGCAGCGAGAAGGGGCAGCCGCAAGACCAACTTACCCTGCCACTAAGACAGAATATGAATTAACATCAGGAAACATCTATAAAATAATGAGCCAGCTTTGTTACCTGGATTATTTAATTTTAAATCCAATGTGACCATCTCAGTTTTTTTTTCCCCCCTTTACCCTACAGATTTTAACGGACTTTACTTCCTAGAGTAGTTTTAAGTTCACAGAGAAACTGAGCTGCGAGCACAGAGCTCCCACCTTTTCCCTGCTCCAGTGCACGCACGGCCTCCCCCCTCCGACGAGCAGCCCTGACCAGAGTGGGGCCCGCGCTGCAATCGGGGAACCTACGCCAAACATCGTCAGCACCCGCAGTCCGTGGTTCACCTTAGGGTTCAATCTTGGTGTCTGTTGTACATTTTGAGTTTTGACAAACGTGTAATGACATGATCCCACCACGAGAGCATCACACAGAGTAGTTTCTCGGCCCTAGAAATCCTGAGCTCCACCTATGCGTCGCTCCCTCCTCCATAACCCCTGGCAACTGCTGATCTTTTTACTACAATAAGCATTGCAAGTCCCCATTTTATAGATGAGGAAACGAAGGTTCAGATATACTGAATATCTATTCCAGTATCACAGAAGTGATGTTCTCTGGAACCAGATTTTTAAAAAAAACAACACTGATTCCTGAGCGTAAAACTTCCTTTGACAATTGGTTCTCAGACATCACCCTCTAGGACCATTTGTGGAGCTTGGTCCAAAGCAGAGGTTCTGACGCTCCTCCCAAACTGACTCAGTAAGTCTGAGACAGGACCCAGGAAGGGCCCTGGCAGCCCCAGCAGTGAGGGTCACAGGTGGAGTGACACTGCTAGAGACCCATGATGCTGAGGTCACGGGCACACAAGGCCGTGAGCAGGAAAGGCGTAAAAACAGAGAAGCATATGGAGGAACGCAAATCACTGACGAAGCCCTGGATGGGAGCCAAGACGTGCTCTGTGGATGGTGTAGGCTAAGGAGGGATTTACCCACCACAGACTGGGAGGTGGGGAGGCACAGCCTGAGGGCAGGACCAGGGAGAAACAGCTGTAGATTATCAGTTAATTCCAAGTAGAGAAAGCTGCTGTTTTCAATTTTATTTTGAAAACCAGACGTTTGGGACAGAGACGTTGGCTAGAATAAGGGCTGGGACATGGTCTGATCTTCACAGGCAGGAGCACACATATACCAGTAAGGCCCCAAGGTTTTTTGTTTTTCTACCGTAACTGAGGATTTTATTGTCCTTACTGTAACATGGGAGGCACAGCCTTCTTGTCTCAGGAGGAATGCTCGCCCGCGGCCCACATATTCACCCACCCCAGGAAATCCACTGCCTCATGCACCAAGCACCCTGACCCAGAGAGGACATCGTGCTAACCCACCTCCTTGCAGCGCATCCTTCGGCTGGACATCTTGAAATAATATTCACTCAGACCATCTGGGCTCAGCGGGTCATGAGAGCAAGCCTGAAGCAAGGCCCGGACAGACTTCTCTAGTTCGAAGACCAGATACACATACCCTATTTCCGGATAAAAGGAGAAACAGCATTAACATCCCTGGGGTGGTTACTCCTCAGCCTTGGTTTTGCAATTGGGAGTTTCTTCCAAGAAAAATGGCCTCATGTGTAAGATACATGTTTGTCCTACTCCTGGAATGTCTTTCTGAATGGAAGCACTTGCCGGGTCAGATGGCTGGGCCAAGCAAGGGAGAAGCATACCATCTCCCACCCAAGGGAGGGAAAGGACAAGGTGGGACACAGGATCCCATCCTAACCACACAGCTCTTCATCCCAGAACACACAGCATGTTCTGGGCAGAAGAGCCAGGCTGTTGTGGGGCAGGGAGGACGGCAGGTCTGTGGCCGGTCTGCTGGGGCACGGAGGTATTGCTTTAAAAGCCTAGTTAGACCACTGGTTCAGTTCATCGGAACATTTTCAGTGAAGATGGGGCAGAGTGAAAATAGCACCTGCTCCTTTCTACAGGGAGGGGATCTCATTTCAGACCAGTGAGGAATCAGATGCTTGGTCCTCATTCCTGCCAACTCCAAAGGGATCTCAGAATTAGGTCAGGCAACAATGTAACTGGGCAAGAAAGTCAGGAAAAGGAAAGCTTTCTGAACGCCTCATTTTGAGAGGAAAGTAGCTGCCGGGGTTTGGGTTTGGAGGGAAGTGCACAAGGAAGTTGCACACAGCAAGATTCACAAGCAGCTGACTGCAGTGTAAGTGTGGACAGAAGGAACATTAGCTCAAGGAAGCAGAGGGATGTGCTGGGTTGGAGAGGAGTGCCGACAGCTCAAACTTCTGTGCTCTGGAGTGCCCAAACCACATTACCAGCATGCAGCCGGGACAGCCCAGCATCCCTCAGTGCAATTACGTACTAGGGAGGGGAAAAAAAAAGCTCCTACCATGTCTGTATTACCTTTAGGCATATTACCTTTGGGAGGACACCGGGGGTGCTTGCCATCCTTACCAGGCCACTCCACACTCAGAGAGCCAAAAACACGGAAGGTGTTAACCAATCCAGCTGCAGGGAGATGGAAAAGAATGGTGGAAACTGAGGGACACCCCCCCCCCCCGCACTGCCCAGGAAGGCGCAAGCGCAGGACCACTCTTCTCCCAGACTTCTCTCCCTTGACAAACAACTCAGAGTTGACCTTGGGTCTGGTGACAAGCGTGAGCACCAGTTACAGAAGCAATATGGGCGTTTATGAAATGCACCCCTGCCCCCACTCCTGTAACACCCTATGCCTGGGCCCAGCTTCAGCCCTGGCTTCAAGTCCAAGTTTAATGCTCTTGAGAGACACGCCCACCTTCAGTGCTTGAAGCAGCAGGTCTCAGAGGCTGCTCACCTTCCGTAATATCCCAAGGAACACCTCCTAGGAACACCTTGCAAGAGTAGATGGGGTTCTTGTAGTTCCGGGGAGGAAGCTGGCCACTCCAGGTACAAGTGGCTTCATTCACAGCTTTGGTGGACGACAGAGAGAGAAATGGGTCAGAGGATCAACAAAGTCACTGATCTTTTCTGGGATGAACTTATCCAGGAAGAACTAGACAGGACATGGTCCCAGCCTGGCTGCCTGGGAGGACATCCATGAATATTCTGAAAGGCAAGAAACCTTACCCCTCATCAAACCAGTCAGCCCAGTGTGACAATTCTAAATCACTAATTCTGTCTCCACTGAAACAGAGAGGAAGAGCAAAGCAGATGTGGCAGGGTAAAAATGATCACAACCCAAGCTATTTTCAAACATGTGATCGATAAGCTAACCACAAAGCAGCTTTATCTAGTCATGGCTTACAATACTAATTAATTTAAATTTCTAATTACTTTAAAATCAGCAAAGCAATTTTGTATACAATGTCCTACAGGCTTACTGGTCCAAACTGGCCTTCTCCCCAAATGTTCCAATGAGGAACATTCTACTGTTTCCTGGTCTTCACTCTGAACTCCGCTCAGAAGTCAGGACACTGCCAGTAAGAACCAGCAAGAGCAACCCAACAAGACAAGAATGTCTCCACTGCTCCCCTACTGAGAACCACGTCCCACCACTGCCACAGCTAGCTTCATAGCACCTGAACAGACACTGGGCCTTCCTTGATGCCAACCCTGTTGGAGAGATTTCCCCCCAACCACCCTGCTTCCTATTTATACCAAATGCATGTTTGTCTAAACCTACTGTGAAGTTTCTCTGACTCAAACACCTCATTAGGAAACCCTTTCTGCTGTACAGAGTAGAAACCATCTTCCGTTTGGCCATTCTGAAAACTTCTAGAGGCCTCTCTGTTCTTGGCGTCCAGTGTGACCTTCGGCCCATCTCAGTCTGTACCTTTCCAGATCAGTGGGGACTGACTAGTCCTTGCCCATTTTATTTTTTTTTAAGATTTTTTATTTATTTGCGAGAGAGAATGAGAGACAGAGAGCATGAGAGGGAGGAGGGTCAGAGGGAGAAGCAGACTCCCTGCCAAGCAGGGAGCCCGATGCGGGACTCGATCCCGGGACTCCAGGATCATGACCCGAGCCGAAGGCAGTCGCTTAACCAACTGAGCCACCCAGGCGCCCAAGTCCTTGCCCATTTTAGTCCTTCAGCACTGGGGCAGAGAGCCAACGAAACCAACCATCACGTCCATCCAGGACAATGACGTGGAAGCTCATTCCTTAAAAGGCACAGGCCCAATGAATTGCTGTGCCAAGAACTTGGGTACCATCAGCAATATTTTGCAAACAAAAACATGAATCAATATAAGGGCCTCATCCAAAAGCAAGGTAATGTCATTTCTTAGGCAAACAATGGCACTAGTACAAACATGGGTTGCCAAAACCATTACGTGAACAAGGTGGCAGAAATATCAGGAGAATGAGATCAGGTCCAGCTCTATGACGGGAAAGATGGACAAACTGAAGCCTGTAGAAACAAATGGGTGGAGAAACTGAACATTCACTTAAGTGTCATCAACTCCAGAACCCTGAAGAGCTGTCAGGAAGCATCTCCCTGAAGCTTTGGTGAACAACTTACTAAGACTTCTTTACTTCCAAGTACCGGTATAAGATGAGGAACAAATTCCATACGTGTTTAGGAGAACTTAAATGACAGAACCTAAGGGTTCCTGAGAGGCCAGGACATCCCTTACCTTAGAGGCTGACACAGGGACCACCTACCCCACAGCGCATCCCTGAGTAGACCAATCAGAAAGCCTCGGGGAAGAAAGCTCCAGCATGGGTTATGTCTGACAGGTCTCTGAATTAGAAAGGGGAGAGGCAGACAAAATCCTGGGCATCACTTCCAGGGTTTCTCCTGAATACACCCACCCGTGAAAGAACCAAAAGCAACACTCATACACAGCCGATTTCCACGGAAGAGCACAACAGAGAGGTGGGTCCAACCCTGTATGGGCACAGCCTCTTTCCTCTCTGCTCAGCCTCAGAGAAGTTCCTGAATTTGTCCCGTTAGCACACAGAACAGACCAGACTTCACCACACAACCAAGTCCCCTCTGGACAGTTCACCAATCTGTGAACTAAGGTCACTTACTTCCTGTGCCCAGAAGGAGGCCTCAGGCCCCAGGCAAGGCCATGGCCACACTCACCTGCAGCTTGCCGGTGCAGCCTGGCCTCTCTCTCGATGCTGAAGGGGTCTTTGGGAGCTTCGAGGAGGTCCCAGGATGGCCACACAGAAGCTCCTGGCCATCTCTTGGATGCACTGGTTGGGGAGGGGCTGACCGCAGCAAGAGCAGCTTGCTCTTGGTCCATCCGGGACCCAACCCCCATCTTTAAAGGGTCTCTGGGACCACCCCCCGTCAGAGACAGGAAGGGCAGGGGAGGGGAAATGCGAAGGCTGGACTAGGGGAGGAAAAAGGAAGATACAGGTTTTTAAATGACAGTTTTGTTATAAAAGTAATAATCACATTCTATATAGAAATTATACCATTTAGCTCTGATATTTTCTTTTATGTATTTTCTTCCGATGCATTTTTATTAGCTGTTCTTATACTAAAATTTAAACAAATCCTTTTCTCCCCAACTCAACATTTTTTTTTTCATATTTCCCAGTCTTCATGATCATTTTTAATTAATTTATGATAATCTATTTAGGGAACAGGCTACATTTCACTAACCTATTCCCCTGTTAAACATTTAGACACATTCCAAGTTTTCAGGATTCTAAACATCAAACTTTAAGGTATAGCTTCTTCTTACTTTGTGTGGTTTTTTTTGGGTCCAAATCCTAGATGTAAAATGTCAAAATGCTTTCTAGGAGGGTTCTGCTTTCTATCAGAAACATAGGAGAGTGTGGCTTTCACTATAAGCTTATGTCAAAGCTCTAAATTTTTACTAACTTAAGTGGGTAAAAATGATTCCACATTATCAAAAAAACACAAACTAGTTACCCAGAATATTTCCTGTAAGTTCAAATACTGCCTCTATTTCCCTCTTCTGTGAGCTGTGTGCCCACAACCCTTCATCAATTAACCCTTGAGGTTGGGTATCTGAGAAAATTCTTTCAACAAAATCCCAAAATATCAAAGCTAGTTATGAGGTAAATTTCCAAGACTGAGCCCCATCTGAATAACATAAGTAGAACCAGAAGCATTTTATAGGGGAGTAAACTGAAGTCCAGAGAATCAAAGGGACCTGCTTGTGGGCACCCTTCTGGAAACATGGCCTAAACAGATAAAACCAACAAGCAGTGGGAACACCAACGCCAGGTTTCGTATTCTAGGACAGGCTGACAGGAGACCAGGTGGGTCCTAAAAGGTCATGCAATGGATGAGAAACGAACCACAACCAACGCTACCAGTCCTGGATACAGAAGAGAGGAGGGTAGGAAAAGAAGCCATCGTATTCACTCAACGGTCGGCTGAGGGGGTTTGGCAGTGGAGAAAGTCAGGCTCAGAAGGCACCTGAAATTGTATGTTATCTCAGGATGGTTTCTCACTGCCATTCCCATGTATTTACTTCTCCCGTCCCCTGTCCCTCGTCTGTTCTAATCCACCCACCAATTCTACTCAGCGCAGGTACCCCTCCTGCCACACATGGCTGTGGGGAAGGAGCATGTGGTACGTAAATTAACTGAGTTCATACATTCATCGTGGCCTCACGCAGAGAGGAGGCATGGGTCAGTAAAGAGAAGAGAGGAGCTACAGTCAGTCTGATCTGGATTAAAATCCTAGCTCTGATAATGACTAACATGTGATTTTTAAAATCTTCACTTAGAAATCTTGAGATAACACATGCAGAGGTACATGAACGATACTGTTTCAAGGCTCAAGGAAACAACCAAACAGATCAAGAAAGAGAACAATGCAGGACTCCCATATTAACTCTTCAAATTATTTCTCAAAGCCCTTGAAGTAACTTGTAAGAGGAGAGTCCGCTGCCTGAGTCCTGAAAGGTACTGCTCAGTGAGAGCACAAGGCATCGTCTCCTCTTGGTGGGTGAAGGTTCTCTACACCGATTCCATCATTCCACCTCCCGCCAGCACTCTGACGGGACACGCTTTCCACGGCACGCTCACTCGCCCTGCCCACCTCACTGCCCAACAAGTTACATACAATCAAATCTGAGAGATGATCCGATCCAGAACTGAAGCCACTGGTGTCTGAGTCAGAAGGGCTGCTAGAACGGGAGTCCAAGATGGGCCGGGTGTCCAGGCGGGATCCTCTAACTGAGGGTGCTGGAAACTTGTCCACCAAGTCAGATCCAAGGGGGTCCAGAGGCAGGAAGCTCAAGGGGGGTTTCCCCAGGACATTGCCCAGTGGGTTGTGAAGCATGCTCAGTACTAGGAAGAAAGAAAAAAAAAATAAAGAAGTCTCACGACCTCTTCGTTTTCTTACCAAACAACAGTCCCTCCCTTTCCTCCCACAGCTGCCCGAGAAGATACACGCAGGCACACCACCGAAGCACGACAGAACCACAGGGAGAGGGTAACGGGCAGACACTAGGGCCCGTGAGAGGCAGTTCCAGGACGGCTTTCTGAAGGCCAGAGTTCCTGCTGCAGCAGCAGAACTGCTCTCCGCCACCCAGACTTAAGGGTCAGGGCCAGTATTTGGGGAAACTGTGCCAGTAGGAACGCTGGTCACGGCTACTATCAACGTCTGGACGCGCACACTTCAGCACAGTTAGGAAGCCCAAACCACACTCCTTCCTTACCGCCTGCCAACGTCTTTATTCAAAGAATTCCCACCTTTCTAACACCACCTAGAGCTCCGTGACAGAATTTCATGCCACGCCCCACCAGTCTGATTCAACACAAGCACGCCACCTCCTCTGCAAAGCTCCCTCACAGAAAGTGCTTGCAGGTCAGACTCTCTGCTATTCACTCCTGAACTGCAGACACTGAGGGTGCAAGCAGAAGGACAGTGTGGTTAAGCCCACTCTGGCTCAAGACGAACCTGGGCTGGAACCCTAGGTCCGACACCACCCCTCTGTGGCTGTGTGCCCTGCTAAGCTCGTGGAGTCCTCATTTTCTCATAAGGTCTCGAGTGGAATAGCAACTATTTCACAGCTTCGTCGGCAGGGTTCAATAACTAAGACAGCAGATGGAAAGTGCTCAGCAGAGCAGTGCCCAGCTCACAATAAATATTTAAATACCAAACATCAAAAAAGAATGAAGCAAAGGGGACGCCTGGCAGGTCATGATCCCAGGATGCTGGGATGGAGCCCCGCACTGGGCTCCCTGTGCAGTGGGGAGCCTGCTTCTCCCTCTGCCTCTGCTCTGCTGCTCCCCCTGCTTGTGCTCTGTCAAATAAATAAAATCTAAAAAAAAAAAAAAAAAAGTGAAGCAAAGGCCGGAAGAGGTAAGGGAGGTAAAGTGGAAGAAGGGGACAACATCTTTCCACCCCTGGCCTTGAAGACATAAGGAATCCAAAGGAAAACATGCCTTTCATCCACGAGGATGAAGAATAAAAGGGCTTTGCCATGGAGCATGGCAGCATGAAGGCTAGGGAAGAAGCGTTCACCGGATAACGTTTTCATGGGAAGACGGGAAAATGTCCACCTCAAAATGGCTGAGGTGAAACCAAAGTACTGTGCAAAGTACTGTGCGTGTGTGTGTCTCTGTGCGTGTGCGGGTCTATGTCTCTGTGTGTGTGCAGGTGTGTGTTGTGTGCACACGTGCAGGTGCTCGGTAAGCGGTGGCCATACCTGGCCCCCCTCCCCAGGTCACTGAGCGACACACAGGTGGTCAGAGCTGGCTTCCTCTCGGGTTCTGCGGCGGTCCGAACGCCAGCTGGGGGCTGTGCTCGGTCCGAAGTGGCAGGAATGAACCCCTCCAGGCCTCACACGCAGTCACAGTGAAAGCAGGCTTCGGGGGGCACACACACACGCCGTTCACGACAGAGCGCATGTGCCAGAGGAGACCAGCCCGTCTCCTGTGACCCAAAGATGAAGATAAGGCGGGTGTACCTTTAACTTTTTAAGTGCAGAGGATACTGTGGATGTGTGTGTTTGTTTTATTCTGGTAAATATATCCTGGATTCTTAAAGAAACGGTCACACCGGTTTCCCAAGGGGATGTACCACTTTATATTCCTACTGGCACTGAAGAGTGTCTCCGTCCCCTCCACATCCTGGCCCCCACCTGGTACGCTCAGTCTTTTTCATTCTAGCCAGTCTGATACGCGTGTGGGGGGGGGGGCTCTCCACCACCTACGGCAAAATTACTTTGTTTTTTAAGAAAATATTCTTTTAACTAGGCCTTTGAAAGCAATTTTCTAAGCACGGGCCCGTAACCCTATGCTCAAAGTAAGCGTCTCTCAATGCTTGGATTCGGACATCCACCATAAATAATCCTTGTCAAACTTCTCAAATACTCTTGACAAGCCACTGCCTCGGTGACGCACAAAATCCGAGGCCCTGAGCTCGTGCCCTGAGAAGGCAGGAGATGTGAAGATTTATTCAAGGCTTCTTCTTGGTGCTGCAAAACCTGGCATGGAAGTGCTGTGAAAACTAGTGGATCATACATATTGGCCTTAAAATGGTACTAATGCCCTAGAGGGCCTCATCTTCCTTCACATTTTACAGAAGTGTAGGGTGCCGAATAACAAGGTATCATACAGAGCTTTGAAAACCAAGTTTGGGCGCGCAGACCTCACCATGAAGGTACTAGGCAGACACTGAAGATCTGCTGTGGGGGTGGCTGAGGCAGCTGACAGGAAGGCCCCCCCTGAACCCGGGGCCCAGCTGAGAGACTATGTCTACACTTGATGGGCCACTCTCACCACACGGGACCCATACAGGGCTGTGAAGGAGGAAGTGGAACAAGAGCTGATGGAAACAGCTGCAGGGGAAGGGAAGGATGGGTCATGCAGTGCAGGTGAAAGACAGAAACGGGTCAACACAGTGGATGCAGATGCAAACCAGCCATTTCAGTGTGCTGAGAGCTGCAAGCGGGATAAGGGACAGACAGAAGAAACAGGAGGTGGTGGGATGGTGAACACTGAGCTTTGAGGATGGCAAGACACAGGACTGTGACCAGCGGTGGGCTGACATGGAATGTATGAGAGGCTGGACAGGACATCCATAAGGAGATGAAAGGAACTCATGGTGATAACTGGGCCTGTGGTTAAAACCAACAAACACTGAGATCCTCAGAGAAGGAAAGAACTGAGAAATTGGAAGGAACAACAAAAGGAATGGCCCTGAGGTAAGTGGTAGATGAGGCTACCTCATCTCCCGCTTGACAAAGCAGCACCATTGAAGAGAAGCCCCCAGCAAATGCACAGGTCAGAGGGGGCATTCCCCAGGAAAAGACAAGACACAGGGCTGTGTGTCAGTCCTAGAAAAAGGTACGGCACTGTAGGGAGCCCCACGAGTTCTCAAGGGAAACACAGCATAAAGCAGCAGAAAAAAGCTCAAGAGAGGATGGCTGGCCCAAAGGGCTTGTGTCTGGGGGCGTCAAGGACAATAAATATGGGCTACAGTAACTGTCTTCACCCAAGGTTTTGAAAAAAAAGTGTATTTGGAAGAGTCAAAAAGCAACTTGGGTGCCATTGCAAACTACTTTTCTCATTCCCATCAGTTTCTGTTCACTACCATTGTTGGTACTTCTGTTCTACCAGCCATAAATCCATCCACCTCAACTAACATGCAATTTTTTTTTTTTTACCATGCCCACAAAGGTATCTTGAGACTCTGTCAAATTCCTGTGCAAAAGCGAGGAATTATGTCTACAGCACTCCTCTCAATGTGATAATAAGCTTGTCTAAAAAAAAAAATGGCATGACAACCCACATTGGCCACTAATGAACTCACTTCCTTAAGTGCCCATGGTTCATGGTCAATCATCTGTTCCACAGTCTGGACCAGGTTCAGTCAAGCTCCTACCATTCACTAACACCAACTTCCACTTACTGCACATAGAGTATGTGCCAGATGCTTTGTTAGAAGCACTTTAGGTAAGTAATCTTCACTAAACCCTAAGCAGTAAGTCCTATTACCCCATCTTAACAAAAGAGAACCCAAGGCTCAAAGGGCAAGCATTGGTATAAGTAAAAGCTAGTGAGTGACAGGATGGGACCCAATTCTTTCTGATTCTGAGCTGTATCTTCTGAAATGCACCTTTCACTAGCTACTTTTATTATTTTTTTTAATACTCAGGACTTTACATCTTTTTGTCTTCCTGTTCTCAACACCTCTCTTTTGTTCAAATTCCTTTAAGACCATCAGCTACTGACTGACAAAGCTCTTGAGCCTACCAAAGGTCAGTGCCTTGGGATCTAAATCATCCAGGCCTTGAAACTTCTCTAGGGCCTTGCCACTGTAGGAACTCATTAAAAATGCATTGTGGGCCCCACTCCAGACCTACTGGATCAGAACCCGCATTTTGAACAAGATCCCCAGGAGGTTTGTGTGCACATTAAAGTTTGAGAAGCACTCATCTAGAAAAACCTGAGGCTTGCTACATCACGCTTCTCACCAGTTCCCCTCACCACACCCCAAAAACCTTTCATGTCATTATTTCCCTTGACTTAAAAACTGTAGGTTAAACACAGCTCTAGTACAGCATAATGGCAACTAATACCGAAAATAACAAAAGCACGGTAGCTATACAGGACATTTTCCAAAGAGTCTGATCTCTGAAAACATTGGTGGGGTGCGCAGAGGGGAGTAGGGTGGAGAGAGGGAGGGTGATAGTAACAAGGAGCAAAGAATATATAAGGGTGGTACAGACTGGGGCGCCTGGGTGGCTCAGTCGTTAGGCGTCTGCCTTCGGCTCAGGTCATGATCCCGGGGTCCTGGGATCAAGCCCCGCATCGGGCTCCCTGCTCCACGGGAAGCCTGCTTCTCCCTCTCCCACTCTCCCTGCTTGTGTTCCCTCTCTCGCTGTGTCTCTCTGTCAAATAAATAAATAAAAATCTTAAAAAAAAAAAAAAAAGCATGGTACAGACTGTAGTAACAGTTTTGGGAAAAATGTTGACCGGAGCAAGCTGAATGTTGCGAAAAATATTCAAGAACAACCAAAAGACTTTGTCAGCTCATACTGGGCAAAAACAAAGGGAGCTAGGACCTACTGCTTGGAGCAGACACCTGTTAGGAGAGAAGGAAAAGTGCCACGAAGGACACTACTGGGTCAGGTGACAAAACCCGGACTACGAACAACAGTTTAATGAAAGTATTATATCAACTTTATGTTGACTGGAATTGAGAACGGCTTTGTTATGTAAGAACATCTTTATTCTCAATGGTTCAGGAAAAACTTATGTAGAGACAGAGAGAGAGAAAGAGAACATGCAAATGATAAACGTGAATGTCAACAATAGGAGAATCTGGATAAAAGAAA